CTGTGACGTCGTGTCGTCTGCATCCTTGCATTCATCATTCCATCATACGCATCATATTAGATTCATGGCATTGTCAGCATTATAGTTCGTGTTATTTTGTCCATATCATTGCATATCACTGCATCTAGAGGCCAAATTTTCGGTTATCTGTATTTAAATCCCTTTCACCGCGATTTCTCGAGTCTCCGCTGCTCAAATCATCCGGTGAAGCTATTTAAATAGGGGCATCTGTTGCACCCCAAATTTGTCCTACCTTTACATAGTTTCTAGTGCCACTTTATTTTGAATGAATAAAATGGCACAATTGGCAAGAGACCGTGTGTAAGGAGTTGTGAGTGTGAGAGGTCGAGAGTTCAAATCCCACCTTCTTCACTTTTTGTTTTTCTTTTATTTTTGTTCTAACTTTTCTATTTTTCATAAAAAAAAAAATAACAAAAATAGTTTTTTTTAATTATTTAATTATTATTTTCGTATTTTATTTAAATTATTTTTTTAAAAATATTATTTTTCACTTTTTTCCATATTATTCATAAAAAAACATCAAAAAATCAAAAAATTAAAAATATTAGAAAATATTTTATTATATTTAGTAAATAAATAGAGTTTTAAGTTGTTTTAAGTTTGTTTTAATTTAGTTTTGACTAATTCTTTAAGTTGGGCTTTAAAGTGGGAATTAGGTTAGAGCTAACCCTAATTTGTTACCTATATAAACATAAGTGATGGGAGGAAACTTCATTCACATCAGAAAATCAAGAACAGGTCATCAGAAAAGGAGACAAAAAGAAAAACGGCGGTCGTCAAGATCCGGAGGTTCAGAAGAGTTTCGAAGCTCATCATCATCGCCTCCATTTGAGAAAAAGGAAAAGAGATCCAAAGAAGTTCGTCGAGAACCATTGCCGCCGGCGAAGAACAAGCGAAAGCATCACCAATCGGCAACTGAAATGTAAGCTTTTATGTTATCCCAATTAAAACCTCTTCCAAATAATTAAACTCTCATTTCATTTTTTAAACCTTTTCTTTTTTTCTAACTAAAAACCCTTTTTGTGAATTATAACTAAAACCAGTTTTTGATTATAATTACAGTAAGTAAAAAACTTAAAACTTTTTCTTAATTAAAACACTAACCACTAATAATTTTTTTTAATAAATAAACAGTGTTTAAAACACTTTTATAGTTAAGTGAAAACATTTTTACTAACTTAAAATTAACCCAGTCCTAAAATTAAAACTTTTTTTTAAGTATTAAAATTAACATTTTTTTAAGTTTTAAAGATTAAAAATTAAAATATGTTAGAAAGGGTTAAAACTTTTTTCTAAAACTTTCTTTAAAATTTTAAAACTAACATTCTTTTAAAGTAAGACTAACGAACCTTTTTTTTTTATGTAAACTTCTTCTTTTAAAAAAAAACTTATGATTAGAGTTTTTTTTAATTTAAGACTTTCTCTTTTAAAAATTAAAATTAAAATTAAAACTTTCTAAAGATAAAAAGTTAAAACTAAAGTTTTGTTTATTTAGAAATTAAAACCTTTTAAAATTAAGACTAAAATTTTAATAAAAAAAAAAATATAAAAATTAACAAAACAATAATAAAAATTCCAAATTGCATTTTCGTGTTTCTTTTAATATAAAATATGTTTGCCATATTTTCACTAACGTTCTCTGTTTCTCTCCTCAGATTATACATAGATTATGATTCATATTTATTTTAATTTATTTTGTTCCATGGATGTAATTTACGCGAGGCCATGGTCGCGATTTATTTTGTTTTTGTTTTTTTTGGGATTTGTAATTTACGCGAGTGATCGTCGCGACGCTTTCTTTACTTTCCGCACTTTAATTTTGCCGTATAATATTTTGTCATGTTTGCATGTTTTACCGTTAGAATTCCCTCCGAAGGAATTAGGTCTAGTTGTTTGACCGCCGAGTCAATAACCCTAGTTTTAGCCGTCTCAAACCCTAATTAACCTAGGCGTCCCGCCGTGGACAAAAATACCCTTTACCCTAGTTTTAGGTCAAAGAGTCGCCGTACTTTGTTTTAGGGTTTCCCGCCGTGGAATCCCTAATTTCAACCCTAAATTTTTAATTAACAAATTCAACGTAGAAATAGGAGTTTCAAAGACTCCACATAAGCGTGTCCTTAAGATACGTTTATTCCCCATTGAAACCTTGACCACAGTCAAGACGTTTCTAACCTCCCTTTCGAGGGGAACTACGATTACTCTGATTCCATTCCCTATCCAGGATACGTAGGCACAAGATGCGAATCTTGCCGAGTAAACTTAGGACTAACCCTTAGGTCTTTAGGTCACTTTATCCCTTAGCTCAATATATATTAAAGCAGATAATAAATAAAAATAAAGAAGCATACAATAAACAAAAGGTTCCTGTAGAGTACTACAGAAGTTTAGGGTGCTAGTACCTTCCCTAAGCTTAACCAACCCCTTACCTAGATCTCTCCCCGCATTGTCTTTACGATGCAAAATTAGGTTTTCCTCTTTTGACCTTTTCCTTCGGATAAATCAAAGAGCGGTTGTGAACTAAAGATGTGATTCAAATTAATTAATAATTTGATATCATATTCTAACCGCAACACTTGTTATATTGTGGCCTTAAGTTCTCACCCCTTATTAGTCTTTAATTAGTTTATTGAGCAGTCAAAACCATCCTAAGCACAAACTAAGTAGGAAGTTGATGCAAATAAGTGTATGATTTCATGTTTAAAAAGAAAAAAATATGAATAAAAAGAAGTACTTCTTCTAAGTTAGGTGATCCTCACCTGATCACTTAGCCTAATGGTGTAAATTCTTTTCATCTGATGATGCTTATGCTTAGGTGCGAGAAAAAGAAAAAAATTGAGATCATAAACACTAACAGGCTATCCTACCATGAATGTGTAAGGATAACAGGCTTAATGTGATTGCGCCAAAAAGAAAAAGAACGATGAGGGATGAGTGAATTAGGTCTAGTTATAATGACATGGTTCAGATTAGTTTGTATATGATGAAGGCTTAAGACCGCACAACCACAGAATTGTGTTCCTACGATATCCTTAGTGTGTAAGCGAGTACCTATCAAAACAATCTTATCCAAAGTAGATTTTCTTAGCCTAGGGCGAGTATCCATGTGCATTGTTTTTCATGAGTCTTGATACCACCTGCTAAAAAAATTTACAAAGTTCTTTCCATTGGTGTAGCAATTTGCTTGAGGACAAGCAAAGATTTAAGTGTGGAGGAGTTTGATAGCGTGAAAACGTATCATATATTTAGACTCAAATCACATGTTGTTTAGTGTCGTTTTATCATGGTTTTGTACTTTTATGTCGAGTTTTGTCTTTATTTCAGGTACTTGTCAATTATGGAGTGTCCATGCGAAGAAATCGGGAAAGGAGCAAGAAAAGGAAGAAAAATGCAGAAAAAGCAAGTTTCTGGTGCATGGCGTTCGTCACCGGCCTAATGGCGTTCGCCATGTGCCTCAGCCACATCCCCCTCAACTTAAACTCATGGCGTTCTCCATGAGCCTAATGACAGTTGCCATGGCTATGCAGTAATAGAATTTGTGGAAAAACAAAATTGGCTCATTCTTCCCCACTTTCCTACAATTTCTCCATGACTTCCACGCGAATTTGAAGACAGTTACAACACCATACCTCTATATAAGACTGAATTTTCAGAGTTTGAGGCATCCAAGTTCTTGTACGCGGAAGCTCTGGAATTTTAGTTTTTAAGAAAATATTTACATTCAAAGTGATAATCGCTCATATCGAGGGATTATCAGAACTTTAGCTTTAGGTTTTTGTACTCTTGGATCACAATCCTGCCGACATTGTTAAAGTTTATTTTATTTCCGTTCGTCTCACTTGAAGTTTTCCCACATTTAATTCAAGTTTTCAGGTTTTTATAGTATTGATTATTATTCTTATTTATCACATTTTTTATTTGATTATCATGTTGCCTTTACTTTCTACTACCATTCTTAATTTGTTTGAATTTAAATTCATGTCTAGCTAAACATCTTTGAGTTTGGTATGTGAGGATCGTCTTTTCGACGAAACTCGGTAATGAATTTGGCATTAACTTTTCTTAAATGATTTTTCTAACTTTGGTTTTCAATTCTAATTCAAACGTTTTTGCACGAGAGTGAAAAATTATTAAGTTTCGAGTCGATAGTGCGAGAGTGTGAGAGTTGAATCAGATAGTGGAAACTGGGCATTGATCCTAAATACAGCGAGAGCGCTTTAGATATCAATTAGGACTTATTTAGTTTTTAAAAAATGCTTTTTAATTGAAATGGGCGAGCGAGAGCAAAATCTTATGGTTGGGGAGTGTAGCTTTAATCAATAGCGCGATAGTGTGAGATAGAGTTTTTAAACTGATATTTTCTACTAAAAGCAATTTAACATAAAACAAACACCAATGAGTTACACAGTCCCCAAGGTACACGAAATTCACATTCCGACGTCTCTTTCTTTATATTTTTTCAAATCTTATTTTAATTTTAGTTTTTTAATTTCGTCCAAACTAAGTAATCATTAGCCTTAATTTTACACATTTTCAAAAGATAACAATAAATTGATTATTAGTCCTTGTGAATTCGATATCTTTTAAAATTACGCGATAGACTATATACCTGCAATTAGATAATTCGATAGACTCATAAAGTCGCGATCACAAATGATCAAGTCTCCACATTTCTAACCAATATAAGACTATTACGCATACTACTCACACTTATTATACTCAACATAGAACTATAGTGTTGTGTATAAAAACAAAATGGATTCACTAATATTTTTTTTGGATTCAATAAAGATTCCCATGATAGCAACAATCGAATTCTACACTTCTAGTAAGGGTAATCATTATTTTCAATCTTCTTTATGAAACAATCTAATTGTTTCTTCCTTTGTGGATCACAAAGAACCCATAAAAAACCACAATGAACTACAAGTCCCAAAACTAAGCTGAAGCTAACTTTATTTTTTAGAATATAGAAACAATTTCTAAAGCTTTATGTAACCATTACTAATCATCCACTCAAGACTCCAATGCTGGTTTGCATTCTTAAAAGCCCAGTAAGCCCAACCAAATGTTGCTCGACCAAAAACATCTATTTGTGCCGCGCCAAATCTCTGGAAATCTTCTTTTGTAGCATTCTTAACTCGCCAATCAGAGACCCATTCGCCTTAAATTCAAAATCGATTCATTTTAAAAACTAACACATTCATAAAGTGAATTATAATGAACCATTCTAAGACTTACCCACAAAAATAAGAGGACCATTTGATGATGTAATAAAATTCAAATCTGATGAGCGGTTGTTGTAAATAAAATCAATGTTCTGTTGAGCCGTCATGTTTTCAAATAAATCATTAAAAATGTTGTAGTAATGGACATCAATGACCGGTCGCGTAAAACCATTAGCAAGAGGAAAGAGTTCCCTGTGCTCCGATGGTCCAAGTCTATTCGACATAACCACATAAACCATGGTCGAGTGCTTGCGCACTGCGTCATAACCAGCTTTATAATACTTGTTCAAACTCTCAAGTGTCACACCAGGTGAGAGTGGCTCGTTTAAGAGCTCAACTGCATATAGACTGGGGCTTTTTGCATACCTATAATATAACACATGTGGTGAATCATCAATTTGAAATATATAATATTGTGTGTACTTGTGAATTATGAAGCAATGTGCAGATATTGTATATATTAACCTTGCAGTTAGTAAACTAATAACATCAACTGTTTGTTGAATGTTTTCATCTGATTTTCCCCATTCCTGTGATCCGTCTCGTGTTGAACTATGTTGAAAACCATTTTGAGAACCAGGTGCAGCATGAAGATCAATAATGATTTTCAAACCATATTTTCTGCATATATATACATAACTTTCAAATATTTGCATTTTAGAGTTTAACTTTTTCTAAGATTATAAATAGTTAATGAACTTACTGGGCCCATGAGAAAGCATTGTCTAGTGAGTGCAATGAACCTCCAACATAAGGCCATGGTGGACTTGGGTCACTTGCTATCCACCAACCCACTGGAATTCTAACTGCATTTAGTCCGTTACTAGCTATGAACTTGAAATCATCTTCAACTATGAAAGTACTCCAATGCTCCTAAAAAAATAAACACCATCAATTTTAAATTAAAAAACGGTCGGTTACCACAAAAATGACTGCGACAACGGTATCAGAAGGATACATGCTGAGAAAAAATTAATTGACTTTAGACCGTTACGGTCACAAAGTACAAATCATATAAAATATTCTATATAAATGCTAAAAAATGAGTTCATACCGCAATCAGTACTTATCGACAGAAATTGCGAAAAGCTTTTACAAGACCATGATGCGTTTGCAACCGTTAATACCTACCTTCATAACTTGTGCAGCTTTTGTAGGGCCATAACCATTTGTTATTTGGAAATCTCCTTGCAATCTTGCAGCAATTGTCAATTCAAAAACAGTTGGGTCATTATCTTCCCATCCTGTAACCTCTGAAACATCAATAGTCACCGACTCTTCTGATTTTGCCTGCAAGTAGTATCCATTGGATGCTTTGATTCGAACAAAGGTTGAATTATCATTTTTCTTAAGAATATGGAAAGTTTCAGACTCAGTGGAACAATTGGTAACTGCAACCGCGTTGATTTCATCTAAGCCCACAAACTGTTTGTTAAAAACCCTGAATCTAAATGTTTCCTCAGTTATTCTCCACAACTGCATAACATGAAAGGCATATTAACATAAATAAATTCTTATTAGATGAATGAATAGTAATTAGGATATCTTACTCTAAATGTTTCCCAACTTGAAGCAGTTGTGCGGTTTGCAACAAGGATAGTTCCTCCTCCAGACTCTGCACATAGATATTTCCCTGTTGTCACTGATTTGAATTGAAGACCAGCTCCATCCTGTAAAAATATTCAAAAATTTCAAACTTATAAATATTTCCATGTTGTCAAAACTTTTTTAATTAAATTTTTTTATATTTATTCTTAGTATTTTTTATAAATAATTTCGGTTTAATTTTAGTTTTGATTTTGTTTTTAACGTTAATTTGATTATAAAATTGTTCATGTATAAAAGTTTAATTTAGTTTGATTTGACGGTTCAGTTTCATTTAAAATAATTTTAATAATTCTAATAAAAAAGTGTTTTACCAAATATATATTTAATATGAGATTAAATATATAATTTTTAAGAATTATTAAAAATTGCATATATGATCTCGTATCAAATATTATTGCAATATTTTACTACATGGGCTATATTTGTGTGACCTATCATTGCAATTTTGGACTCAGTTTAATAGTATGCTTAAATTATCACACTGTAAAAAATATACAGTAACTGTTTCATGTAAAAGTAATTATACTTACCAAGAAGTCTTTATTCGGAATGGCATCAAAGAGAGAAGGTTTCATCCAACCTTCAGTAACCAACCAACCACCAAGACTAACAGCTTTCACTCTAAACTCCGGATTAATTGTTCTCCCATGTGTCATTGAAAGTAACATAGCAAATAAGAAAATGAAATTAACAAACCATATTTTGATGTTCATAATCATAGAGTTTGTCTTCATTAGATATCTTTGATATTTGTCTCAATATCCTCACACTTTGGGTTTTCAAAAAATGTGGGGAATTATATATAGAGAGAATGGTGAAGAGGAGTCAAAATCTAGAAACTCTTGACCAATCTTAGGCTGCCTTATATTACAATAACTTTATTATATATCAAATGGTTTTTCAATGTAGAAGCACAACATTTTTTCGATAAGCATGATGATTTCACACTACTATATGAGTTTTTTTTTATCTTATTTTATTCCTTTTTTCGTTAAATTAATCATTATATGTAGTTTTTGTACTAAGATATAATCAGATTCTTTTCTCACGATGTGTATTTTGTATAAGTGTGCTAAAAGATATCTCGTTTTTGAAATGGTTGAAATTTCACCACCGCAATAACTCCACCACCAATTTTCCCACTTGTCATTGCTAGTTGTATGTTTTAGTTGACATTTTATTTGTACTCATATGTTCATTGCAAGTTTTTTTTTTTTAATCAAAATCCTTATATTAGATCAAGAGGAATACTAGAACAGAGAACAATTACATTGTAATTAGTCTACTACGATAACAATTTTTAAAATATCATAAAGACGATTGTATCATTCATAATAGTTACACTTTATCGTCTCGCTAGAATTAATAGTTAACCATCACCTAAAAATATAAAGAATTCTATGGAAATTTTCAACCGGACAGCCGAATCCATTATTAAATAATATTTGATTTCTTTGGCACTAAATACACCAAACAATACAAAACCATATCATGCACACAAGAATTCCTCTTGGATGAAGACTCAACCAACTTTATGAACCAATCCAACATATGCTCACAACAATTATCCGACCTTGACAACGTCACCCCTACCCAATCACCAATCGTCCTCTAAACAGATTGAATTTCAGGACAAGATATAAACAAATGTTCTACAGATTCTTCACAATGAAAACAAAAAACACAGACCAATTCGTGAGGATTAGAAATTGTTCCCCTAACCGCCAGATTAGAACGGGTCGGAAGTCTATTGAAAATCAGCCTCCATCCAAAAATCTTAACTTTCATAGGAATCGACATTTGCCATAAAAGTTTTAAAGCAGTCTTGGAAATAATATCTAATGTTTCGACCCCACAAGCCTTATGGATAAACGCGTACCTGGATTTGACAGTGAAATAATTGTTCTGTGACTTTGACCACGTAAACATATCTTCATCACCAATTCTTGGCTTGATTTCGACCAACAACTGTGACAACTCCAGAAAGAAAATACACAGATCCCCAGCAAGCTCGCTGTCTTGTAATCCCAGATTCTAATGCCACGAATCCCCCACCCAACTCCACATATCCCTAACAACAACATATTTGAGGGTTGTAGCTTCATATAGCGTTGGAAAAGACCTTCGCAGCGGCAATGCCTCAAGCCAACAAGAGTTCAAAATGAAATACTAAATCCATCCCCTAACTTGCAAGATAATTGTAGCATAAATCCATCTTCTTCCTTGGATGCTGCCATGTTACGGATGTCCTTCCAGCACAACGAAGTAACCTGCTGACATTAGTATCATGATTTAAAATTAATTTGTGAGCAAAGTCACGGCATTTGTAGGTCAGCAGCGACCTCCAAATCCATTTTGACAAATGGGCTCTATTGAATATATATAGATCCTTAATTTCAATGCCATCTTCAATGCCTCGGTGGAACCCGACCAAAGAAAGCTCCTTTGAATTGACACCAATTCTTTCACTACTTTCTCCGGCGCTTTGTAAAAAGAAAGATGATGAATAGGTAAATTTGTGAGCACTTAATTGATGAGAGTTACTCTTCCTCCTATAGATAACAATTTGCCTTTCCAATTTGATAACCTTGTTCTGAAGGCCTCGATTACCGGCATCCAAAATTTAATGCGTCTATGATTACCTCCTACACATAAACCCAAAATTTTTAAAGGAAGCCTCCCTGAATTGCACGCTAAAAATGAGTAGCGGCAACCAAGAAGGACTCTGCCACCCCCACTCCATACAGACAACTCTTATTAAAATATGTTCGCAAGTCTGAAACCAATTCCAAAACCCCTAAGGATTGATTTGATACCCTAAAGATTTCTCCAATCATCTTCTCACACAAGAATTGTATCGTCCGCAAATTGAATGATACTTAAGGAATCAATCTCATTCAAAGTAAATCAATCAAAAATATTTCTATTAATTGCCCTTCTGACCAACAAAGCTAAGCCCTCCACCACCAACGCATATAAGAAGGGAGACAGGGGTCTCCTTGCCTAAGACCCCTAGAACATTTAGGATCTTCTGAAGTACTACCATTCACTAATATGGAAAGGAAGCTGTTGCACACACTCGCCCTGATCCACTGCTTCCATTTAGCTCCAAAACTCATAGCCCACAGCACTCTCATCATAAATTCCCACTCGACGCAATCGTAGGCTTGTGCGAAGTCTACTTTGAAAGAAGGCGCCTTCTCATTTTTTTTAATAGCCAAATCAATAAGTTTGATTTCCACCAGGTCTCCATCAAGGAGCTGTCTTCCAGCAATAAACATTGTCTAAGACGGAGAAACCAATCCATTAATAAGCTTGCCCAACCTATATGCCATAATCTTTGAAATAATCTTGTAGGTACAACCCACTAGGCTAATCATACGATATTCTTCCAAGCCTTGGGGGTTCAGATTCTTAGGAATCAGAGTGATAAAAGCTTAGTTTAATGCCTTGGAAAAAATTGCATTATTATAAAAGTCTTGAATGCACGCTATAACATCCGGCCCTAACACTCCCCAACAATGCTTTAAGAATTCTATATTAAAACCATCTGATCCAGGACATTTATTCTCGTTGCACCCGTTGATGGCTTCAAATATATCTTCAGCAGAAAACAATTCCTCTAGCATTTCACCATCTACAGCAGTAAGTTTTGATAACTCTGACATATCCAACAAAGGTCTCACTCCACCATAACTCTGAAATCTTGCCGCAAAATAATTCTTAATGGTCTTCTTAACAACGGAGACCTCCTCTGATGTGCCAGCTCCCACTTTAACCGACGACATGAAGTTATTTCTATTTCTACTTTTCAAAACATAATGAAAATATTTAGAGTTGAGATCCCCCTCCTTAATCTAATTCACTCTCGCTTTCTGCATTGACATACTTTCCTTAAGAAGGAGATTATTCCAAATCATATTTTGTGCCTCACTTCTAATCCTCAATTGCTCCTCCGTCGCATCTCCATTATTATACGCCATAGCTTTTTCTATCCCATTCAACTTATCCACCCCTTCTTCTATCTTCAAATCCACCCAACCGAACACATTGATATTCCACCATCTTAACCTCTCCCTAAGAAACTTTAATTTCTTCACAAGAATCTGGATACTGCTACCAACAAATGAATTTGAACTCTAAACATCTCTCACAAAGTTCATAAATCCAGGGTGATCAAACCAACACCTAAATACCTTGAATGATTTTGGACCCCAATTGATATTGCTAACTCTCAACCAAATCGGTGTATGATTTGAAATATCACGATTGCCAACATGTTGCACCATCACACTCCATTCCTTGATTGACGTTTCCAAATGAGGAATCTATCTAATCTACTTTTACAATTCCCGTTTGAAATAAACCAGGTAAATTTATTCCCAACAACCGGTAGACCAATGAGCTCTAACACATCAATAAAAGTTGAGAAATCCGCCATTTCTACATAGCTTACCTTCCCTTCCCCCTTCCTTTCCTCCACTGATTTGATCACGTTGAAATCACCCCCAATTAGCCATTCACCCACCAAAAACTTATTCTTGATTGCAATCAGATCATTCCACAATTCTCTTTTCTCCGAGAGTGTACATGACAAATATACATTGACAAAATAGCAATTTAAACCCTTCCATTGACAATTTATACCTAAGTACCCATTACCTCTGAAGCTGAAATTTAGACTAATGACCTTCGATCACCATATTGAAATAATACCTCCAGACTGACCAATGTTGAAATAGCAGACCACCCAAACTCATCATTACCCTAAATGCTCCTAATTGTAACGTCCTCGACTGAGGATAACTTCAATTCTTGGATAAAACATAAATCCACCTTCCCTTCTGAAATCATGTGTAAATCCACCTTCCCTTCTGAAATCATGTGTTGAATACTTCTCTTCTTAATTGAAGAGTCACACTCTCTAACGTTAAAAGACAGAATATTCATGGAACCGAATCGCAACCCCCAACTTTCCTTCAAAGTTCTTCCTATCCCTGACCTCTAATTCTCTAATTATGCCTTCAAAAACTTTGTCATCTTCATCACCTTTGATCCACATATCCCTGATCATGCGCCAAACCTTTGTTCGAACATCTTCAAGAGATTTTCTCACTCGAGTGTTACCTTGATTTACATCTCCATCACTAATTGATTCACAGCATAATATAGAACCACCAGAATATTTTGAACTCGCATCTTCCATGCCATTAGAAATAATAGGATTACAATCAACAATGACAGGAACAATTGGAACTGATTCATAATTATTCACCGAATGTATTAAACCTGGGAAGTTTTACCCCATACCCCTACACTTATACCTATACCCCTACATTAAAAAATTTTGGACCAAAATATCCTCGTATAAAAATTTATTATTTTTTAATTTTTTTTATATTTTTTTATTTGTTTACCGGAAGACTTTTTGGAAGTCTTCCGGTTCACATTTTTTTAGTATGTTTACCGGAAGACTTTTTGGAAGTCTTCCTGTACATATTTTTTTCGTTTGTTTACCGGAAGACTTTTTGGAAGTCTTCCGGTTCATGTTTTTTTTTTAATTTGTAATTAATATTTAAGATTTATTAATTTTATATAAAGACTAATTTAGTAAATTTTTGAATATTATACTTAAAATATAAAAATTCTATAAATAGAGAATCATTTTCAGAATATTTTCTATTTACTATAATTATTAGAATACTAGGATTAAAATCATTTATTTTAAATGATCATAGTAGTAGAATTTTCTCAAATATCTTATTAATCTTAAACATTAATAAATAAAATAAATTTAAATATAAGATATAAGTTTACATTATTCAATATATTTAATCAAATGAAAACATATGTGATAAATAAATAATGTATTTTAATTTAAAATGATCACAATAAGTTAACTTGCAAAATAATATAAGTAATAAATTAATAATATATTTTATTTAAAATAATCACAATAATAAAATACGCAAATAATGTGTTTTATTTATAGGACTGATATAGTTTTATTGATTATTTAATTTTGAATACTACTATGAATATAGTATTTAATCTATACTTTAGAACTCACGTAATTATAAATATAAAAAATATTGTTTTATTACCCATATTTTTATTTAATTAAAAAAATAAGAATATAAATTTATTATTTTTTTTTCATTTTTGTTTGATCTTTTTAATTATTTCACTTTATTTAATATTTTTAATAAAATAAATAATATATTTTATTTAAAGTAAGCACAGTATAGAATATGCAAAAAATTTATAAATAAAAAAAAGATCAAACGAAAATGAAAAACAAATAATAAATTTATATTCTTATTTTTTTTAATTAAATAAAAATATGGGTAATAAAACAATATTTTTTATATTTATAATTATGTGAGTTCTAAAGTATAGATTAAATACTATATTCATAGTAGTATTTAAAATTAAATAATCAATAAAACTATATCAGTCCTATAAATAAAACACATTATTTGCGTATTCTATTATTGTGATTATTTTAAATAAAATACATTATTAATTTATTACTTATATTATTTTGCAAGTTAACTTATTGTGATCATTTTAAGTTAAAATATATTATTTATTTATCACATATGTTTTCATTTGATTAAATATATTGAATAATGTAAACTTATATCCTATATTTAAATTTATTTTATTTATTAATGTTTAAGATTAATAAGATATTTGAGAAAATTTTACTATTATGATCATTTAAAATAAATGATTTTAATCTCATTGTATTCTAATAATTATAGCAAATAGAAAATATTCTGAAAATAATTCTCTATTTATAGAATTTTTATATTTTAAGTATAATATTCAAAAATTCACTAAATTGGTCTTTATATAAAGTTAATAAATCTTAAATATTAATTACAAATTAAAAAAAAATATGAACCGGAAGACTTCCAAAAAGTCTTCCGGTAAATATACGAAAAAAATGTGAACCGGAAGACTTCCAAAAAGTCTTCCGGTAAACATACTAAAAAAATGTGAACCGGAAGACTTCCAAAAAGTCTTCCGGTAAACAAATAAAAAAATATAAAAAAATTAAAAAATAATAAATTTTTATACGAGGATATTTTGGTCCAAAAATTTTTAATGTAGGGGTATAGGTACAAGTGTAGGGGTATGAGGTAAAACTTCCTTAAAGCTGAATAGTAGGAAGGGGAAGAAGAAATTCTAATTTTATCATAAATTTCTTTTATCTTTTTTGTCTTCTTTTGTTTCGGCCCCGAACTAGGCCCACTTGGCCCAAGGGGAAAAGAAGAAAATGGGTCAGACTTATCAAAATCAAGGCCCACTATATCTAAGAAGTTTTACCTTATACCCCTACTCTTATACCCACACCCCTACACTCAAAAAATTTGGACCAAAATACCCTTAGTAAATTTATAATCTTACATTTTTTCATTTTTCACTTCCATTTCTCACTTTCCATTTTGAGACTTCCGGAACTCTCCAAATTTTACTACATACCGGAACTCTTACCCAAACACTTCCGGAACACATTTCAGTTGAAATACATACCGGAACACTAAGACTAAGTCTTCCGGTTTGTATTTTGTTTTTGCTTCTTCACCGGAACTCTTTCATTAAGACTTCCGGTTCACAAAATTTATAGGTTGTTCACCGGAACTCTTTTTTGAAGACTTCCGGTTCAGAAAAGAATTTAGTTTACACACCGGAAGTCTTTCCTAAAGACATCCGGTACACTTAATGTTGCGTTTCAACTCCGGAAGTCTTCAAAGAAAGACTTCCAGTTCATTGCTTTTTTATTTTTTAATTTTTGTTATTTTTGTTTTCTAATATATTTATTTATTTATTTTATTTTTTTTAATTTTTAATTATATTGATTTTTTTTCAGTGGTGCGCACAAGAGGCAGAGATGGTAGGATCCCTCGTGGACTAGGACGGGGCGAGTCATCGAGGATGGCTGAAGAAGAGCATTTTGATGCATCAGCATCAGCATCCGAGCCGGTTGGATATCCCGGAGGACCGTATGATACGTCTCTGTTAGTTAAATACGAACAGCATGTTGCATACCGTATATGGTTTGGTGAGGTAAGTAAACGAAAATTATTTAATATTGAATATAATTCGAATTTTTAATATTGAATTTTATAATATTTTTACTTTTACTTTTTTTCAGGAGAGAGGGTCGAAGAAAGAGTTAAAGGTGGCGGGACATGGGATAAAGTTGACTCAGAGGGTTCCACTACAGTTACCCAGAGAGATGGAGAGCTGAATATCTAGGTCTGGTCTAGCTTCACTTCAGAGAACCAGTTTAACAAAGATAGACACAAACCTAGTTTCCGCTTTTGCAGAGAGGTGGCATCTAGAGACATCTTCATTTCACATGCCGTTTCGTGAGATGACGATTACTCTAGATGACGTATCTTGCCTGCTTCACTTGCCCATCAGGGGAGTTTTCTGGAACCCTTAAGATATCAGTGAAGCGTTTGCTGTTGAGTGGGCTGTTGATTATTTGGGAGTGTCACATAGAATAGCACAGCAACAAGTCCGTGAGTGCAGGGGTTCCTACTATAAGCTGGAGTGGTTATATGATCGGTTCGTAGAGCACAGAGCTGCATCTCGATGGGATTATGCCACTAGAGCTTATTTGCTGATGTTAGTGGGTTCCACTATTTTTGCGGACAAGACGTTTACGCTTGTCGAGGCACAATACCTGTCACTATTTATAGACTTGGATGGCTTATCAGGATACAGTTGGGCAGCAGCTGCGTTGGTTACTCTTTACCGATATCTCGGAGATGCTTCCATGTTCAGCTGTAAGCAGCTTGGTGGTTATCCGACTCTCCTACATGTATTTATTTTAATTTAGTATATTTTGTTTTAATTAATTTTATCTAGTATATTAATTTTATTTATCTAGTTTATTATGTTATAATTAATTATTTTACATTTTGTAACAGTGCTGGATTCATGAGTATTTTCCCACACTTGGAAAAAGAGGAGAGAATTGGATACCAGCTAATAATGTGGGTCTCCCACGAGCGATGAGATGGTCCTATAGACAAGGTACCTTGAAGGTGGATGAGTTGCGGCCTATTCTGGACGAGCTGACACCTGCTGATGTCATATGGCGCCCATTCGAGAATCATAGAGTATGGCGTCAATTTGATTAGTTATGCCTCTATAGGGGGTTTCTGAGGTGGGGTCTATTGTTCCATACATGCCTGACAGATGTTTGCGTCAGTTTGGATACAGGCAGTATGTTCCACATCCACCTCTTGATTCTCGAACGGCGGGTGATATTGATGTTGACTGGATTAGTTACCATCAGAGCGTTCAGAATGTGATTCGTCCGACAGCGCCGGCCACCACCCCATATGAGACAGATGATGGGTATCTTGAGTGGTATTATCGTGTTTCGCATCCTCGTCTGGTACCGCTTAGTGTTGATGCGACAACAGAGATGCCAGTTCCTGTATATGAAGCAGGACCATCTGATCCTATAGTGGCTCGTATGTCTTCATTGATACATCGTTATCTTCAGCAGACTAGTGCTGAAGAGGATGACCCACAGTTTGTTGATTTGTTCGAAGCTTTACATCTTGGTCTATCACAGTGACATTTATTTATATTTATGATTATATGTTAACCTTTAGACAGATTTGACCTAATTGGTTTATGTTCATGTGTTAACTTTTAGACTAATTTGACCTATTTAGTTTATGTTTATGTGTTAATATAATTCACGATTCATGTTTTGCATTTAAAAACGAGTAACATAATCCACGATTCATGTTTCGCAATTAAAAACGAGTAACATAATTCACGATTCATGTTTTGTAATTAAAAATGAGTAACATAATTCACGATTCATGTTTTGCAATTAAAAACGAGTAACATAATTCACGATTTTTGTTTTAAAATTAAAAATGAGTAACATAATTTATAATTCAAAATGCGTTGGTAATATAGGCGTAAGTTGTTGCCAATGTTGTAGACGTCCTGCAAATCCTATCATCCAAGATGTTGCTGCTGGAGTACGAAACTTCTTCCAATCTACTGTCACTGGTGGCAATGGAAACCCTTCTTTCACGTTTACCTAAATAAAAAAATAACTCACAATATTAAGTAAAAATAACGAAAAAGAATTAGGTTTAATCGCATTATCTAAAAACAACTAAGTACCTGAACCCAATGATTTCTGTTTACAAAACCAATGCAGTAAATTGCTACATTCGGTGAAAATGAAGATGTCATAGGGAAGAAAGTCCAGCATTCAATTCCTAAACAGACAAGTACAACATTATAACGGTTCGCTATCACGTAACCCATATCTGGTAGAGTTAACCATTTATGTGGTGGCTGAGGACCAACTTCCTCTATCATCAAAGATTCTCTCACTACTGCTAACTGATCAGTAAATAAATTGACATACAAACTTGATCTTTCATTATGTATTATTTCCAACCCCAAGTCTCGACGAACCATTGGCTAACCATCTGCACCATATCCATACAATGAAGCAATTACTCGAAATCCACAATTACCATCTGATACAACATTAACTACATCATCAATATATGAGCTGATGTGATTAGGAAATTGAAGGATGAACTGCTTAGATGACTTTGAAGATTGTGATAATTTCAACTTGTTCGAAGCCTGTGCTGGTTGAGATTTTTTTTGTGAAGACTGTGATAATTTCAATTTCTTTGAAGTTTGTGATGGTTGAGATTGCATCTGTGAAGATTGAGATGCTTGATCAACATACTCGTGATACGAAGGGTCTCTATAAACATCATATCCTACTGGTTTTTTGTCTTTCTTCTTGACTCCCCCTTTAGTTTTTATTTTCTCAGGCGGTGGACACATAGAAGTCATTGTAGGGAAGGCAAGTTCAAAAATCCTACTTTTTAATGCCTTTTTCCCAACAACATCCAGTGACTTAAACCTTTTCCATAACTCATCTATTGCACTACTCATATCCACCTCTGATCCATCATCTACATCTTCGTCCAACTTAACTTCCATACTTATTTTTCTCCAATGAACATGTACAACATCTATTGGTATCGGTAAACCATCAATTCTATATCCTGTCAATTCACAAGCACAAGGTAATCCGTAGGTTGTTCTAAGAGTACAACGACATATTTCCTTGTTAGTTCCAACATAATCAACTCGTTTTAACTCTTCAGCAATGCGTCTCAATGCTTCTCGAGACACTGAACCACGTAAATTATTGTAAAATGGACTTACGTGGGCGTGCTCAACTTCATAAAAACTCTTTTGAAAAGAAGCTCTAATATTACTCAATTGTAACTTTAAGTTGTCATTCATAGCCTCCCAACATTTGACCATGTCACCAATACTGTTCCCAACATTTTCTTTAACTTCCAATGAGCAGACTCAACCCTAAAATTAATACATATTTAAAATATTTTTAAAAAATTAAAAAAAATACAATTTATAAATACTAAAAATAAATACATACCGATTAGTCGTAGTGTTACCCAAATGTAGCACTCGATTAATCCATGCTCCAACAAATCTTTATCTATGTGGTGTCAACCATGTATCCTTCACATAATCAATAAATTCATTACAATCAACACACGCCTGCTCAATTTGGCTCAACCTTTGATCATACTCAACCTCATCACTAGCCCATACAACATCCGTCCATAACTCGTCAATTTTCTTTTGCATGTCACTAGCCACATATTGTTTCCGTTTTGCACCAACATTCTTGTTAATATGAAATCGACATAGCATATTGATCGACCTTGGAAACACAATTTTAATGGCTTTCATCAAAGCAAGATCTCTATCTGTCAAAATCACTTGTGGACACAACTCTTTCTTCACAAACAATTGTTTAAGCTTATCTAGCACTCAACAAAAAGTCTCAGTTTGCTCAGACTCAATATAGGCAAATGCGACAGCAAAAGTCAACTCGGTTGATGTCATGCCAACTATTTCAAACAGAGGTTGCCTATATTTGTTTGTCTTGTAAGTGTTGTCCATAACTAGCACAATAGGAAAAATATTCAACAACTTAACTGAATCTGGATGAGCCCAAAAGATATCTCTAATTACTTCAGAGTCATCTCTTTTTCTACTCCAATAAACATAACCTGCTTCCTCAATAAGCTTAAACAAATGTTGTATCTCACTTCTAGGACCTCTTATATTTTTTCTATCATACTCTTCTGTTTGTATATTTGCGTGATCCGAGTGACATTATCTGGATCTTGCTCTTGCAATGAAAGCAATATATGTCTAGGTGGAACCTTTCTCTTTGTCAAGTCAATAACATGTTGCTTCTGATCAGCTGTCAACCTACCAACAAATGCGTGACCTTCTAATCTATCAGGTAAACCATGGTTATGAACTCCACATTTTACATCAATCTTCCATCCAGATCCATCAGCCGCTGGAATTCATCTGATTCTAAATGGACATCCACATTTTTTCGTCGCACTCTGGGTTCCACTACCAATATCTTTGTGTTTTCCTCCTTTATCACATCCAAATATTAATTTGTTACTTCTTCCTCTCTTGCCTGTTTTAATATCTGAACGAGTGATGATAACCGTAATTTTATTTCGGATTCCGATCTCTTTAATCCATCTTATTACCTCTTCTCGTGTACCAAATCTTTGAGTTGTTGAAAAAACATCAGACGTATCTACGCATATCTGGTCTTTATCGCATATTTGTAAATGAATGTCTGAAACCTCTTCTCGTGTACCAAATCTCTGAGTTGTTGAAAAAATATCAGACGTATCTACGGATATCTGATCTTTATCGCATATTTGTAAAGGAATTTCTGAAATAATTACATATAAAAAATTCAAAAATTCAAAAAAAAAAATCTCAAACCGGAACACTTGCTACAAGTGTTCCGGTAGCTAAAAAACAAACCGGAAAACTTGTAGCAAGTGTTCCGGTAGCTAAAAAACAAACCGGAAGACTTTTTACAAGTCTTCCGGTGAACATTCACGAAAATTAACAAATCGGAAGTCTTTCCTGAAGTCTTCCGGTACAGTATTTTTGTGAACCGGAACTCTTTGTCCAAGTCTTCCGGTTTGAGAAAAAATGCCTACCAGAAGTCATTTTCAAAGTGTTCCGATAGATCGTGGGATGAATTTTTCGGAAGATTGAAAAATATAAAAAGTGAAAAAAAAATAATAAAATATTAAAATATATAAGGATAAAATGGGTATTTTTTTAAAAATGTAGGGGTATGGGTATAAATGCAGGGGTATTGGGTAAAATTTCCCTATATCCAATGCCATGTCCACGTGATCCAAAATACAAGTTTCCTTGTCTAATGCCTTGGATACCACACCCACAAGTCCCGTCTCCATCCCAATGAGTTGGGATCCACTCCATTTCTTTGTCCCTCTATTTTCTCCATTACTATAGTTTTGTGTGTAAATAACACACATTTCTAAGACATGTGACATATAATTAATATTTAGTTAATTTTATATACAACAAAACTATAGTAATGGAGAAAATGGAGGGACAAAGAAATGGAGAGGATCCTGACCCCATCCCAATACCGTTTACTGGTGACAAAGTTGTCCTATAACAACTATTTACTTTTTCACGTCCTCCAAGATTTGAATTTTTAGTTGACACGCCAACATCCTCCAAATTTTTCACCTCATTTACTTTTCCATATTCCCTAAGTAATGATGTGATTGGCTCCCCTGCTGCGCCGAATCCCCAGAACTCTCCTTTTCATAAGAGTTGTTCTTCCTAGGGTTGTCACCTTCATCCTCAGCATACGTCTCCGACACGCCATCTTTATCATCTGAATCATTAGTACCTTCACTCTCCAATGTACTACTCTTCCAACCTTCATTACACACTGAAATCTATTTTGGTCCATGGAAATCTTCCACAAGCTTGATTATGTATATATTTTGGTTGATTTCCATATTGAAAACTTCATTGAGGTTCAATGGATACTTAGTCTTAATCAAGAACCTGGAAACATCATGAAACTTGTGCTTCTCTGTATTCTTGTCTCATGAAATAAACTCACCTACACACCCTGAAATGAGCTTGAAGAATCGATTACACCATGCAAGACATGGAAGCCCGTAGCATTTCAATGATGTAAGTCATCCGTTGTCAACATCTGCAGGTGAACATGGATAAATGTCATTGAACCAAAACTTTACCCAATTTTTTTCTTCTCACTACTATGGAAAAGGCATTTAATAACGGTTGGGAAAGATATATAACAACGGGACCAGGCGTTGTTATGTAGCATGTCATTGTATTTGCGGTACTTAAAATCACGGTCTTGGGACCTTTGTTGTATTCTAAAAAGCGCGAGCCATATCACAACGGTTAGTTAATCCAACCGTTATGATAGAATCTGGTCAGCGTTCAATATTACAACAGTTAGTTATTCCAACCGTTGTCAAAACTTCCTCTATTTTAAATATGCAACTCTCTGCTTTTCATACTCTTTCCATTTTTTATCCTTTAACTATTATAACTATATCATAGAATTTACAACAACCTGTATTTTTGTTAACCATGCATAAAGAGCATAAAAAATAGCTAATATTGTGCATCAAAAGGAAAAACTAATATTTACATCAAATACAATATGTTTAAGTAAAATGTAATATTCACATCATCAATACAGAAAATAAGTCATTAGCACATCTCAATAAATCAATCAGCAAGACCCTTAAGCACATTGTGGATATACGCCCAATGTTTATGGAGATCTATAAAGTCCTCAACGGGGAATGAGGTTTCGTTGTTAAACATCTACATAAGAAAGAGCCAAAAAATGAATATCATGCATGATAATAATTCAATAGTCAACTTATATATTAATATATGTAAACATTTTATGACATATATACCTTATCCCATGAATCAACAATGTCAGCAAGAACAATGTTTAACATGTTTTTCATGACATAATACCCACACTCGTAAGTCCCGAGTTATCTCCTCATCTATAAATTTAAGCAATAATTACATGAATATAACCACACATGAATGTAAATGAAAGAAACAGGTAATCAAGTCACTCACTTTAGGAAAGATCCATGAAGGCTTTCTTCTAACATTGTTCATCATATTCACTTGCTCCACAACACTGTACATTGAAAATGAATTAAACATATTATATGATAAACTAATTACAATGTCAAAGAAAATGAATTAAACATACACTTATGAATTAATAATCTCTTTCATTTTCTTTTCGAATGGATCATTCAAGGAACACAGTACAGTTACCATATTTGTCTTAAATGACATGATGATCAATTGCCAATGATCACTGAATAACCACAAGCATATATATTATTAGTATTTGCTAAAACAAAACTAAATATATAACACATAAACATCAATTAAAAAATTACTTACGAACTGAGAAATGGTGCTAAGTAACATTCTTCTCCTCCTTCATTTAACCATTTTTTTCAAGTAGCCTCGAATTTCTTTTGGTTGATTAAACGCCCATCGAATAAAAAGAGGATCCAAGATTCCACAAATACTTGATTTTTTTAAATCTATACAAACACGGTAATTGTACCTAAGTGGTTAAATAACATGAATAAATTAAGGAAGGAAATACAAAAAAAAAAGATAATATTCTATAATGACATGTATATTCAACTATATACTTACATGCACCAAACTTATAATATCTCTACGTCCAGCCACTTATATCCACCGGGAAAATCCCTTACATCATCAGGACTATAATAGAATAACTTCAAACATGGACAATGTTTTAGCAGGAGAGGTTGCATATCATTTATCTGAAGGAAAATTGCGATCTAAACGCAGCGGAAAACAAAAATTTCCTTTAGTGATCCTTACGAATGAGCATGGTCAGTGATAGAATCGTTACCTCTTTGTGGCGATTCAGATCTTTGATGCAGCGATCACAAGCGTTGATGAAGTGCAACGCCTCTACTCAGTCCACACGAACAGCTTCCGGTCACAGTGCTAGCTTCTTACGAACGGAATTATTTGAG